CGTATGTTCAAACTGTTGGGATTCATCCATATATGTAGGGCTTTTGCAATCAGTCAGTCTTTCTTTATACGAACCAAAATGCTCTCTGTAGAAACTTGGTCCTATCATCAAAGTCGATATTAAGTCTTGATTAGGGAGGTGATGTTGGTTTTTTTCTTACGGTGTGGGGTTGCTAACCTCACATCTAACTTTAACGAGGTTTAGAAGTGCATTGTACGGGAATCGAACTCCTGACCACGTTAGTGGTTGGCAAGAACTTTAACACTAACCTACTGATGCACACAGTTCAAATAAAAAAGTAATGTAGGAAATTATTTGTTTACTGCTGTAATTTTCTGCTATTGATTTAGGAAAAAGATGTTCCTCTAAAGTGTGTTTAGACACTTATACTTACGACCTCGTCTTTCCAACTCATATCATTTAAAGGTACAACATTTTCTTTCTTTGTTTTCCTTTTCCCTCTCTTTTTTTCCTGTATGTGCTGCTTTGTTTCTTTCTTCCGCTTACGCCAGTAAATATGACAGAACCCACTTATCTAACACCTTCAAACAGTGTTCAGCTTTGGCTTTGCTACCGACATGCCAATATGTTAATATCAGTAAAAAGTTTGAGCATTGTGGATTAGATCAAATACAGTATAATTATATTTTAATAGTTTACACACAATGATAAGTTTTGTTATTGGTAATATTTCGAGCAAAATTACTGCCCGTGTTCACACCAGTGTTGGAATTGTTTGATTCACACATTTATGATTTGTACTCGTATATATAGTTCATTGTTTTTGTTCATTCATATTTTTTTTGTATTTGAGTTGTATTCCAAGTTCATTCATGTTTTTGTATCCAGAATTATATTCCAAGTTGTTGATAGTTGTACTGAATCACTAAAATAGAGGAAGATGAAATGCTAGTCAGCTTTGATGTAAACAGTCTCTATACGAAAATACCCATTCAAATGGCCATGAATGCACTGAAAGAGAAACTAAAAGAAGATAATGGCCTAAAAGATAGAACACAGAATTGAATGAACATCTACAGTCTGGACCCTATACCCTAATGACGAAGTCAGCTGAAACAATCACAAACAAAACAATGAAAGAAACAGCAAAGGTAGTCAAACAAATGAAGGAAATAATTGGTAAGTCAAAATGGTTTGAAATTATGCCAAAATCATGCAATATACCTAGAATATATGGCAAGATAAAATTGCATAAAGAGGGATATCCAATAAGGCCGATTGTAGATTTTAGAAACACACCGACGTATATGCTATCAAGATTTCTCTCGACAATACTAAGACCAACAAGAGACAACTCACAAGCTAGAATAATAGATTCATTTGAATTAGTGAAGCGACTAAAAACTACTAAAATAGAGGAAGATGAAATGCTAGTCAGCTTTGATGTAAACAGTCTCTATACGAAAATACCCATTCAAATGGCCATGAATGCACTGAAAGAGAAACTAAAAGAAGATAATGGCCTAAAAGATAGAACACAGTTATCCGTAGAAGAGATAATAAAAGGGGTGGAATTTTGTCTGACAACAACATATTTCACATTCGAAGGGAAAATATACAAACAAAATGAAGGAGTAGCCATGGGATCGCCTATCTCACCAATAATAGCTGACATATTCATGGATTATTGGGAAGAGAATGCCCTTAAACCATTCAGGTCATCACTAAAATGTTGGTGGAGATATGTAGACGACACACTAGTAATAGTGAAAAAAACGATATTGAGAAACTCTTCTCACACATAAACAGCCATATCGACTCAATAAAATTCACTGTGGAAGTAGAGAATGAAATTGGGGAACTGCCTATGTTAGATTGCAAAATACAAAGAATAACAGATGGTAGCATTAAAACAACGCTATATAGAAAAACCACACACTCTGGAAGATTCCTCGATTATCACTCAGCTCATCCACTCACGGTGAAACGAGGATTAATACAAGGTCTTGCAGATAGAATACGTAGACTTACAACAACGCCAGAGGACCAGTGTAAAGAAATAAACGTCCTATTCAAGATGCTACTCGAAAACAACTACCCAAAAGAATTTATAAAAGATAATACAAAAAAGAAAAAAAGAGGGTAAAACCGGAGAATAACGAGATGGAAGAATGCAAAAAAAACAGTCACAATACCATATAAAAGTGGCACATCAGAGGCAATTCAAAGAAACCTCAAAAATATCGGCATTCACACAACTTTTAAACCGACAAATCTAATCAAAAATAAAATAAATCAACTGAAAGATCCCATAAAAATGATGGATAAAAACAACTTGATTTACAAAATATCTTGTGCTGACTGTCCGACTAAATATGTGGGTCAAACGTCCAGATCACTCAAAATAAGAGTGAATGAACATAAACGCCTAACCAAAGGTCAACCAACAGGAACACAAGCCTACAAAAATCTTGAAAAAAATTCATCGATAGCTGCACATGCATGGGACAAAAACCACAATATCGATTGGGACAATGTGTGTATTCTAAAAACTAACATGAACAAATGGAAAGAAAGACTTATAACAGAATCGATATTCATTAAAGTCACACCGGATACATGTAACGAGGGTGACTCAGTACAACTATCAACAACTTGGAATATAATTCTGGATACAAAAACATGAATGAACGTGGAATACAACTCAAATACAAAAAAAAAATGTATGAGCGAAAATAATGAACTATATATATGAGTACAAATCATAAATGTGTGAATCAAACAATTCCAACAGTGGTGTGAACACGGGCAGTAATTTTGCTCGAAATATTACCAATAACAAAACTTATCATTGTGTGTAAACTATTAAAATATAATTATACTTTATTTGCCAATATGTTGTTTTCATAATGAACTGAGATTTCCTGAATCTATGTAGAATTCTATTTATTGATAATGTACTAAGTGGATGCAGTACTGTAGTAAAAATGCTGAGAATTCCATTCTGTATCACAAGTACTGTTTTGGAATAAAGCAAATTATTATTATTATTTTCTTCAGTGTTATTTGTTCGATGATGACTTGCATTGGAACTCAGAATATGCATTTAAATCAGTGAAGGATAGTATAAGGAATTCAATAACAACAATTCCTTCCACCAATGTGGTAACATGGACACCTCAGTAGCCACCTGTATTCCGCTTTGGTGCTGATTTCAAGTGTGAGTAGGAATATCAGTTGAAACTAGGACGGAGATATTCCCACTGTCTAGATTTTAAATCGACAGAAGTACTCGTCGACGTTAGGTGGTTAGAGACAATCGGTAAGAAGCATTGGTTGAATCTAGATTTCTTGCTAGTTGGCAGTTGCTAGCAAGGCGTATCTGAAATCTTGAAGGAATTCATGTCACCTCTCAGCTTCGAAACTATGTCACACAATGTTGCAGTCAGAGATGTTAGCACTGAGCTATTCAGCCTCTCGACTGACCTCCTGTAGGAATGTATTAGATATTTCTGACTGGACACTAGTTAGTAACTAGTGTAATTTGTCAAGTCCTTTGTTTGGTGCAGACTGAATTCTATCAGTCATGTTTCAATGTAACTAGGAGGGATATGGGTTGTTGCTTCAAGACTGCAGATACACCTTGCTCACTGATTGGTGGGTGCCGACTAGCATAAAACCTAGGTCAAAAGCTTCATTCCAATTGCCTTCAGCCATCTAATACCAGCAATTCGCAGTGCACTGTGATGGCGAGCCACCTGGCATGGTGCCACATAGCAGACTTAACTAACAGAATTCAGTCTGCACCAAACGCAGAACTAGACACATTGCACTAGTCAGTAACTAGTGTCCAATCAGAAAAATACGTGGCTTGAATCCTAGTATTGGTTAGGTGGGATTAAATGATTTGTGGGAAGGAATCCAGAAAAAACCCAGCTGTAGAACTACATGCAGTTAAGCGCAACCTTAAAGTAAGATGAGACTAGGTGACAGACTTAAGATATAATACACCAGGATAAAGGGCGAAATCGATAACTGAAGCTTTAAGAATCGCGCTATCAGAATGACTTAACACCTGTACGTGACATATAGAAAGTTCTACTACCCTTCAAACAAGTGTGAAGAAAGAACGAGTACTATAAAACTCGAGTTATGAAGTTGTGTAGTTACAACTGATGAGATTATGAACAAACAACTATGTTCGAAAATTATTCACTGAGTAAACAATACTGTGTCACTGCATGATATATCCAGTAGGCTTGATCACGATTTGACACTAATTAGGGAACTATTAGGAAACCTGATAGCTCTTGACATGTGTTTTGTCCTAGTTCGGGACTCATCTGTAACGTGTACCCACCTCAAGGTTTTGAAACGAAGGTCTTCCAGTTACAAGGCAAGCTCTTAGACCATTAAGACACTGGGATCAGATCTGATGGCCCATGAATTTCGGTTTCCTGCTAGCTCATCACATTTATAGCACAACCTCCAGCCAATGTCTTAGGCGAGTAAATAGTCTCTTACCCGCCTTGATGGATCCCATTGCTTACGAATCCTCACTCCAGTTTCAGTTAATTTCCTATTTACAGCCAGTCACAAATGAGCATGACTGACTGACTGGTCTCAACGTAGAACTTTGCACAAATGTGCAGCAGTTCAAGTTGCCACACCAGTGAACATCAGATTAATTGCTTTTGCAGAGATCTGATTGGCGATAGGCTTGATGACGAGTTCACTTCATGAAGGTTCTAGGTTCGAAACCCAGTTGATGCGTACTGATGAGGAGTCCCGAACTAGGATGAAACAGCTGTCCAGTACTCCAAGGTCTGCTAATATTTCTCCCAATGATGTCAAATAGTAATGAAATCTGTAATCAGCCAAATCCCTGCAAACCAACCCTTGATAATAGGTCTAAAAAACAAATTAATATAGAACTGCATAATACGACACATTACCACAGTGTGAAAATTTCAAACATGAATTAAAAACATCCTACGGTCATTAATTATCTTAAATTTGTTTTATTTTCTTCTTCTATGGTACATTTGACATGAAATAACAACAGTTGGTTTTGAAATAGAGGGGAATGACATTGACTGCCATTACTTTTTTTGACTAACTGATCGTACTACTTATTTCTGATTACAGTAGTATTCCAACTATTTGTGCAAAGTTGAATGTCACACTTCATTAGATTATTCAAAATTGAAGTTTATTTAATTGGTACTTTATTTGTATTTAAATTTTTCGCTTTCCTGATAACATCAGATTGATGTCTTTTGCATAAATTTTGTTTTTCTGGATTTTTGGAAAAACTTTCCTCCTTTTTACTTCCAACACTGAAACCTTTATTTGAATATGAACCAGAGGCATTCACCTTCACATTGGATACCGATGGACAAAGTGTAGAATTGGCTGATTTTCTAAAAGATTCTGTTCTGTTAAGTTGAACAGTTCGATGGGCAGAAGTATTCTGTTCCTTACTTTTTTGAGTCAAAAATAAATTTCTAGTGGGTTTTGATGGTATCTTGGCAATATTTTGACATGTCGTTTTTGTTTTAAGTGCATGCTCCGTTTGGCGCTCCTTTTGAGATGTAAAAGTTAATTGTTTCTTTACAATATCACCTGAATCATTTTGTATTTCAGTTTTTTTGGCTAATATTTCTTTGCTTTCATTGATTGATCTAACTTTTTCAGAGTAGATTGAAAATGAGTCTAATTGTTGGCAATTTTCATTATCACTTATCATTTCTTCAAAGGTGTATAACGTTGTTGAATTTTGTGTTGTTTTAGGGTGGTATTTTTGCAAAGTTGTATCATCATAAGGAATAAAAGTTGAGATATTTGTTGACTCAGAATAGATATCTGTATCCCCATACGATGATCTTGACTTCTTTCGAGTAGATTGATGAGATTCTGAAGGTAAATTTAAATGATTACTCAATGATGAATTTGTCAACTGATCTTTCATTTCACTGGGGTTTTCAGTTACTTCTATTGGATTAATATCTTCGATAGCTATTAACATATTCTGTTCAGCTTTCCATAATGCTGGTACATCATTAACAAGAATTGCTGGATGTTCTTGCATAACATTTATATCACAACTTCTAGGACAATCTTCAAAATCTAAAGTGTTTAAATGAGCTCTCTGTACATATCGAGTATTTCGGCTTAGATGTCCATTTGAGTTTAGTTCGTTCTTCATTCGCATTAGTGCCTTAGTCAACAAACTTGTAGCATAAACTATTTCATACATTATCATTTGATTTGCATCAAACTTTTTAAATAATACACAACTTTTTGAGGTGTTATTCTGATTGGATGTTTGTTGATTAACCTTGAAAGGTGTATAATCTTCTCCTAAGTTGATCTTGTCATCATCTTCAAGCATTAGAGTATCATTCAATTGTCTAACAATTTCATTTAAATTGTGTATACACTGAATGTACTTCATGTCGTCTGTGAAATCTTTTCGTACGACGTCATTTTGTTTTAATGCATTACCTCTTTGGCGTACAATATTACTATTATTATCTCCACTTTCGTTGTTCACATTCATAAATGTGTTCAATATCTCTTTAGATAGTGATATATTATCATGTTCTGTAGTTTGATTATTGAGCGATTCCTGTGCTTCACTTAAAGAAGAGTATTTTCGCAGTCTTTTATGCTTTTGAAACTTTCGTTTATGACTTTCTTTGTTTATACATAAAGATTTAATTAATTTATCTACACTACACCATATGAAATAATTATGTCTCTCATTTGATGATTTGTAAGTCATTTTTCTGTAAATTTCTAAATTTGAGACATTGAATTTATTGACGC